CAAGTTGCCCTGGGGCCTTGGGCCAGCTGCAGTTTGTTAGGTAATTTTCAGATTGCAAAGGGCCAAGCCTTTCATATGCAAAAGCAGGCGCACAGCTTGGGCGGGGCGGGGGTCCCAGGGGATCAACAGGGTGGAGCAAGCAGCTATGGCTGCCCTCAGAGGCCCCGCTTCTCAGTGTCCCAGCAATCGCTGCAAGCACGTCCGAGAGAAAGCTGCCCTCGAGTTCCGACCAATTCCAGACAGTCCAGTTTCTCTCGTATGAGTCTGGGTCCCCAGAGACTCGCCCGGAACTGGAGCTCAGAGCTTGAGACTCCCTACCGATTGAAAAAGACAACCGTGTCCTCAGCCGCCAGCCCTCTCCGTGTGCGCCTCCGTACCTCTGTACTTTATTTCCACACCACACCTCCTCTAAGTCTCGGGATGCTTTTCTCTTTCCTTCTAGTTGTAGAATTTCCACTCATCCAGCCTTCCTATGGTTCTGGATGATGTCTGTTCCGTCTTTTAGTTGTATTCTTGAAGTGGTTGCGCTAAGCAGCAATCTCCGGTGTTTACCTATGCCTCCATCTTGGTTTTTCCTCCCAAAGTAGGTCTGGTCTATCTTAAATTTATAGTTGTATATAAAATTTCTCCACCACCATTATTTTAATCTATTTCTACACATATATATCTAATTTCTGCTTTATGTATTTTAACTTCATGCTTCTAGACTATATCTTTATAAAAATAAAATTATCTTCTTTACTACCATCATGAGATTTTTTGATACCCTGAATTTTACTTTGTCCATTAATAATACTCTTGATCCTTTTTCTGTTTATATTTGCTTCATATAGTTTTGATCATCCATTATGTGTAATCTACCTTTATCTTTATTTCAAGACGACATTATTCTTGAAAATGTAATACATTAATTTTGTTTTTAACTTAATACGGAAGTCTTTGCCTTTCTCTTTTTAAAAATGTTTTTGTTGATTTTTAGAAAGAGAGGATGGGAGAGTGATAGAGAGTTAGAAATATCAATGAGAGAGGAACATCATTGATCAGCTGCCTCCTGCACACCCAAATCTGGGGATCCAGCCCGAAACATGTGCCCTGACCAGGAATCTAAATGTGACCTCTTGGTTCCTGGGTTGACATTCAACCACTGAGCCACACGGGCTGGTCTGAAATTCTTTGTCTTTCTAAAAGAAATTTTACCCATTCAAATATGTTATTTGTAAAAAATATTTTTATTGATTTAAGAAAGGAAAGGAAAGGGCAAGAGAGATAGAAACATCAATGAGTGAGAGAACCATTGATCAGCTGTCTCCTGCAGAACCCACACTAGGGATCAAGCCTGCAACCTGGGCATTTGCCCTGACCAGGAATCAAACTTTGACCTCCTGGTTCATTGGTTGATGCTCAATCACTGAGCCATGTGGCCTGGGCTATATAATTATTATTTCTATGCTAAGTATTCTGGTCATCTTATTGCACGTGTTTGTGAAAATACATTTATCATTGTTGATGCTAATACCTAATTGTTTCTTATTCTCTTTTGCAATGGGATTAGGTTTGCTTTTGTTTTCTATGCAAAGTCAACATCCTATATTTAATGTTATTAATTGTTCACTTTAAAAGTTCTTAAAAACATTTTTAACTTATTTATGTCTTTAAAACTAGGATTCCGGTGAATGTACAGATTTTGCTTACATGGATCCTCAGCTAAGAATTGCTTCCTTCTCACAGAAGTGTGAGGTTTTACCAGGTATGCGATAATACATGCTTGTCCTCTAGTAGTACATGTTCATCTTAGACAACTGGCTAGGTGTTTTTATAGGAATTGTGCTTTAGGTCCCATGATTTAATCAGCAACCCTTACAACTGTACCCCATTTCTGCACAGCTGTGCTGTAGCTGATACCATTAGGACTGCTCTGCAAGTGGCCAGAGGGAATATGGTGACAGAAGGGAAGGTTAATGTTCTTTGGGCGAAGCTGATCTCCACATGCAATGTCAGCTGGTCTTCCTTGTGTATAAGATGTCACTACATCAGGTGTTATAAATTGGGGAAGCTGTATCTCCTATTTAATTACTCAGAATAAGTTCTTTCAATTAAATACCTTTTTCCTCCTGCATGTTATAATGGGGGAAAAGCGAGATAGTGCAAGTTTATGGTCAAGCCAGTATTTCTAATATCAAGAGTTGGCTTTTTTCATACTTGGAAGGAAGATATTTGCATACATTCCACAGTGAGAAGCATCACTGAAGCTCCCTGCTCACCAGAATCAGAGGACTTAAAATTTTCTCACTAGAGAATCATTCCTTTAAAGTAAGTGTTGCTTTTTTACACTTTCTTTCAAAAATGCAAAAACTTAGGAACAGTGCATCACATTGATATTGAAGGTGAACTAACTAACGCCTTATGATGGAAGGTTTCCCTAAATGCCATTGACTCTGAAGAGAGGAAAAGAGGGCAGGCAGTAAGGTGAAGGTCACACAGACAACCTCTACCCACTCACTACTGGCCTTTAGGCTGCACATGGCCCCCTATAAATGAGTGCTGGCCAATGCGCAGGAGAGGTACTAAGCTAGACAGCTCCTTCAGTACACACACTGACTAAAAGTCTGATTCTTCTTTCAGGGGAGGATTTTGTACCACCACCTACCAGAATTTGCCGTGGCTGCCCCAAAGAGATTCCTGTCGACAGCCCAAAGCTGAAGGAGGCTCTGACACATTCCATTACAAAACTTAATGCAGAGAGTAATGCAACTTTCTATTTCAAGATTGACATTGTGCACAAAGCAACATCACAGGTCTGTAAATTGAGCTACAAAAATAGTGATATTATAGTCTATGTGCAAACTGCTTACTAATATCACTGATCTTGGGTTGGGAAATAGTATACCTGGTAAAAGGAATTGAATGTCAAGTCTCAACCTCACTACATGCTTGCTATGTGATCTTGGAAAAGTCATTTAGAACATTTTATGTCTATAAAGGATTGGGGTGAGATTCAAATAAGATAATTTATGTCAAGCCTTGGCCGGTAGCTCAGTTAGTTAGAGCATTGTCCCGATATGCCAAGGTTCCAGGTTCTATCCCCAGTCAGGGCACATACAAGAAGCAACCAGTGAATGCATAAATAAATGGAACAAACAAAGAGAGATAATATATGTCAATACATTATCTTCTCAAACTTTAAAGTGTTATATAAATTCTAGCACCTATTATATAATTAATAAAATGTAAGTAAAAAAGCTACTCTTATTCTCTGCCTTTCTAGCATCATTTCTTGTTGGAGCATCACTTAGTGCCTTGGGATCAGACACATGTGTTTATCATCACCCAGACTCTCTTCACACTCTCCCCTCCATGTTACTCCCCCCCTGCCTAGGTGTTCTTTCAGCCCACAAACGTACACCTAGGGCTTCATCTTCCCTTCCATGCCCTGTCAATAGAAAAGGAGCATCCTAGTGTGGGGTCAGGAGATCCAGTTCTACCAGAGCCTCAGCCCTCATGTCCTGGGTAACTCAGAGCTGTCATTCAGACTCACTCAGTCTTTGGGGCCCATCTGTAAAATGAGTGGCTGGGTGAGAAGATCCCAAATTTCTTCCAACTCTAACAGCATCTGAGTAATCTGTTCATGGGCAGATTCTTATTATAGACCAGCCTCCTTAAATGTAAACAAAATAGAACCAACAAAAGCAATCAAAATAGAAGCAAAGTGTTTCAGCAAACCAACATAATCTGATTGGGGGGTGGGGGGAGGAGCAGTACTACAATTATAACAATTCATACTTTTGGCTCAGTAAATCAATTTCTAGAAATTTAAAATAGAGTCTTTATAGACAATGATACTCATTGTAGCTTTAACTATAAAAGAAAATATGGCAAACTGTCAAAATGATCAATAATATAGAAATGATCAAATAATGTCTGGAATATCCTTAAAATAGAGTATCAAGCAGCAATTTTAAAGCATCTTTGTGAGGAGTTCTTGATGTGGGAAATGCCTTGTTTTAAAATATGCAGTGGGGAAAAAAGAGGCCATAAGATTGACTATACATTCTGTTGTCTGGTGTGTTATAAAAAGTACAGAAAACAATACTGAAAGGAAACAAATGCCTCCAACTATTAACAGTGGTGGTTTTAGGTGATGGCACAATGGGCTGTTTATTGTCATCTTCTAATTTCCTGTATTAGTTTCACTGCTGCAGGGGAAACCTAACCAAATGGTATTAAAGTAAGTCAAAACTGACACTTTGCTCTCTCTCCTCCTCAGGCACTTATTCCTGCCCCTGACACCACAACCTTTCTCCCTCATTTCACGGGCAATTGGCCCATGTTAGTGGTGTCCTCACATGATACACCAATACATGCTATTCTTTATTTAAATTTAAATTCTTTATTGTCTAAAGTATTACATATGTATCCATTCCCACCATTGACCTCTCCCCGCCCGTCCCCACCCCGCAGCACATGCCCTCACCCCTCTAGGGTCTGTGTCCATGGGTTGTGCTTATAGGCATGTATTCAAGTCCTTTGGTTGCTCTCTTACCCATCCACACCCCCGAATGCTATTCTTGTGTATGTCAGCTTTTCTTCTCACTTCATATTTCTGCTTTCTTGTGAATCTCCCTTATTCTTGATGCAGGAATACCCTCTGCTCCACCATATATTGCATATCAGAGGTTTGCCGTCAGGAGAGAATCACTCATTTTATACATAACTATCTAGTCTCCATAGTGCTTACAGTTCTCTGTAAATTAATGAATTAACATTCTAGCATGGTGTGTATTTGTTTATGCTAAGGATGCCAGGAGAACAACAACAGGTAATGCTGTTAATTGAAGGGAACTGACATTCCTTCACTTGCCAAGTCAATTTGAAATATGCTGAGAATCTCAAACTTACTTACAAAAGATGAATCTTTACTGGTTTTTACATTTAAGGAGAACAATTTGGCTGTTCTGACATGATTATTCAAGGAAGTCCTGCTGGAAGCAGCCAAGTTACTCGAAATCCATTTACCATTTGATGAATTTGCCAAATGACCAACTTTTGCCAAAGATTTATTTTACAGATTTGGTCTTGCCTTGGCTTTCCATATTATTCCTATTTGGATGCATGTCCATTTCAAGCTGGTTTTAGATGCCAAATATTTCTTAAATTCCCCATTTGCACATGTGAATGATGTGATTTCTGTCACAGGCCGTTTATTTTGCCCTGCCTCTGCCGCCACTGTCCCCCCATTGTCCATATTCCTCCCTGTCTTTGCTCAGATGAATATACTTCAAGGATCTGTGTGTGCACATTCAGGAAGTTTTCCTTTAACAAAGTACTAGAAATGTCAAGGCATATGTATAGTATGTCTAAGACTTCTGATGCAAATTGCCAAATTGCCAAACTATTTGCAATTATGCCAATTTACATTCATACCACCTGGCTCTAGGACCTTGATCATCTTGCTTTGAGTTCTATTATTACCAACAGTGACTGAGGCTGCGTGCTTCCCACACGTAACCAATACCAGTTATCACCACTGTTTTTTTATCCTTGCCAACATATGGAAGATTAAAAATGCTGTTGCATTGTTGTTGTTTTTTTTGTCTTTGGTTATTAGTGAAGATGGTCATTTGTTTCTGGCTTAATGACCATTTTAACTTCTTTTCTGAAATACTTGTTCATGTCTTTTGTTAATTTTTTCATGTTGGGCTTTACATACATAAGAATATTAATCTTATACCATATTTTCCCCAATGACACCTGATAATAACGGCAATATAGATGCCATCCTGAGGCCCTCAAATGGGGATTTACATCTATTTAATTCCTTCTTCTTGATCTTGAATAGAGTTGAGCTATCAGTTGTGGTTTGTTTCACATATTGTCAAGTTTCTTAGGCAACATTACATTGATCAACATTATTGTTACAGAAAATTGGATTAAGATATATTCTGAAATGAGCGAGAAAACTTATGATCACCAAAATATAGACCCTATAACCCTCTTAGAAACTTCCTCCCCATTTACATCTACACCTGGAGTCTTAAAAGTTAAGTATCAAATTTTTCTTAAAAAATATAACCATGTTTACCCAGCAGATCAATGCCAGACAAAGTAGAAGGGGAGCTTAGCTCTTCCTATGACTCTGTTCTCCTGCTCTCTTCCTCCTGCCACACGTTTTCCATGCTTTTAAAAAACACAGAGATAGGGAAGACTGTTGTGGTTTGCTTTTTCAAAAGAGATTATTCTATCA